TGTCTCAAAAAAAAAAAAAAAAAAAAAAAAGGGAAGGAAACCCTGACACAGGTCACAGTGTGGATGCATTTTGAGGCAATCATGCTCAGTGAGAGAAGCCAGACACGAAAGGACAAACACTGTGTGATTCCACTTCTAGGAAGTCCCTAGAGTCATCAGGTTCACAGAGACAGTAGCATGGGAGGTGTCGGGGGTGGGGAGGGGGTTGAGGAGTGAGTGTTTCATGGGGACAGAATTTCAGTTTGGGAAGCTGAGAAAGTTCTGGGGATGGTGGTGGTGATTGTTGCACAATTATGTGGATGTTCTTAATGCCAGTGAACTGTGTGTACTTAAAAATGGTTAAGGGCGGCCGGGTGCGGTGGCTCACAACTGTAATCCCAGCATTTTGGGAGGCCGAGGTGGGCGGATCACCTGAGGTCAGGAGTTCAAGAGCAGCCTGACCAATATGGCAAAACACCGTCTCTACTAAAAATACAAAAATTAGCCGGGCATGGTGGCGGGCGCTTGTGACCCCAGCTACTCGGGAGGCTGAGGCGTGAGAATCACTTGAACTCGGGAGGCAGAGGCTACAGTGAGCCGAGATGGCACCACTGCACTCCAGCCTGGGCGACACAGCAATACTCTGTCTCAAATAATAATAATAATAATTAAATGAAAATGGTTAAGAGGACAACTTTTATGTTATATGTATTTTAGCCATTTTAAAAATTTTTTTTATTTTTAAATTTTATTTATTTATTTATTTATTTATTTATTTTTATTTTTGAAACGGAGTCTTGCTCTGTCGCCTAGGCTGCAGCGCAGTGGCCGGATCTCGGCTCACTGCAAGCTCCGCCTCCCGGGTTTACGGCATTCTCCTGCCTCAGCCTGGGTTTCACCGTGTTAGCCAGGATGGTCTCGATCTCCTGACCTCTTGATCCGCCCGCCTCGGCCTCCCAAAGTGCTGGGATTACAGGCGTGAGCCACCGCGCCCGGCCGCCATTTTTTTTTTAAAGGCACAGGGCAGACATGGCTCTTCGGTAGGTTCTGGGGTAGGGGCTAGAAGAGCCCGTGATATGAGGGGAGGGGAGGCCGAAGGGGAGTCTGAGGTCAGGAGCCTTGAATCCCAGGGAGAGGCTAGGGCCTGGACTCAGGGGTCCCTGGGAGCCACAGGAGGCTGTAGAGTAGGGGAGGAGCCAGGGAAGGAAACTCTGAAGGAAACAGGGCCGTGCCCTGAACACACGTGGAATCCGGGTGCTCGCTGAGTCACAAATCCTGGAAGCTCAGGGTCGTGGAGAGGAAGCCCTGCCGCTCTATGCAAGGTCTTCCTGTTTTTGGAGGAGGCAGGCACTCCAGGGCCGATCGTCTCGAATCACCTTCACCTCTGGGGGCTCAGAATCCCTGAGCCACAAAGCTGGGGCAGGGCTGGGGGATACCCCTGCTGCTCAGACAGGGAAATGGGCACGGAGCTTGCCCAGTACTTCCCAGAAGGACGAGGCTGCTGAGCTTCTCATTCGGGGCTCCGGGACCTGGACTGTACCCCTTTCTGGTAGGGGGTGCCCTGAACTGAGACCTTCAGGCATGGAGGGCGGGGGCTCAGAGGTTGAATTCTGCTTCCATGTCATTACCTGGGTGGGAGAGGGCCTCCACTCCACACACCTAGAAGTTTCTGCAAAATTACCTTGAATGGGAGTGAGAAGCAGGCCCCCTTGAGAGGTAGTGAGGCGCCTGTCATGGAGGTATGCAAGCGGAGGACGAAAAGGCTGGACTTGAGAAGGAGGTCAGACCTCCAGGGTCACAGAGGCCCTTGGCATGGGGAATAGTCTGTGACTCTGTAGTTATGTAGTACTGTCATTCCCAGCTTGTGGCATTTTTTTGTTTGTTTTTGTTTTTTGGTTTTTTTTTTGGATGGAGTCTTGCTTTGTTGCCCAGGCTGGAATGCAATGGTGCGATCTTGGCTCACTGCAACCTCCACCTCCTGGGTTCAAGGGATTCTCCTGCCTCAGCTCCCCAGTAGCAGGGATTACAGGCATATGCCACCACGCCAGGCTAATTTTTGTATTTTTTTTGTAGAGACGGGGTTTCGCTATGTTAGACAGGCTTGTCTTGAACTCCTGACCTCAGGCGATCCTCCCACCTCGGCCTCCCAAAGTGTTGGGATTACAGGCGTGAGCCACTGCACACAGCCAGCTTGTGGCTTATAAAATTCCAACTGTCTTTGACTTTTTTTTTTTTGCCTTTGAGTTTAATATTTTTGTGTTTTAATTCGAAGGATTTTTATGCGTGTATTTTGAGATTGCATTTTTAAATGTGTGTTTTAGGATATTCGTATCTATTATTATTATTAGTTTTTAATTACTGAATGCATTTTTGTTTGTAGTCGTTTCCTGGGCTTTCACGCACACGTGACCATAAAGCTGTTCTGATAATTAAATCAGTGCTGTGTATTATTATTATTATTGCCACTATTGTTATTATTAATTATTATCCCCGGGGGCAATTTTTCCGGGATTTGAAGGAGCGGCTGAGGCTCTCGCGTGCCCTCTTGTGGCCGCGAGTCGGACTGCAGGCCGCTCACCTCGCCGCCCCTCACCCGCAGGCGTCACCTCCTGTCGCCTCGCCCTCGCCATGCAGACCCCGCAAGCGTCCCCTCCCCGCCCGGCCCTGCTACTTCTGCTGCTGCTACTGGGGGGCGCCCACGGCCTCTTTCCTGAGGAGCCGCCACCGCTCAGCGTGGCCCCCAGGGACTGTGAGTCTGGGGGTATCTTGCGGGGGGTGGAGTCCCGTGGGAGTGTCTGGGTTCCCGGTTGGGTCTGCTGCCCCCACTGGGGGACTCAACCAGTTCAGGAGACACCCCTAGAAGGGGCATGACCTCGAGTCGCCCTCTCTTCACCCCCAGCCCTTGCTCACACCCCTCTCCACCCCCTCACTCAGACCTGAACCACTATCCCGTGTTTGTGGGCAGCGGACCCGGACGCCTCGCCCCCGCAGAAGGTGCTGAGGACCTCAACATCCAGCGAGTCCTGCGAGTCAACAGGACGCTGTTCATTGGCGACAGGTATTGCTGGGGACAGCGAGGAGGCCTGTGTGACTGGAGCAGAATGAGGGAAGGGGAGAGAGAGAGGAGGGGAGTGCAGGGAGGGGACGGGACAAATCGTGCAGAGCCTGTTGGGTCATTGGGAGGACTTAGGCTTTGACCCGGAGGAAGGTGGGAGCCACGGAGGGTTGTAGGTAGAGGACTGGACCTGACTCAGGTCCTCACACGCGCCCTCCGGTGGCTGCTTCTGGGAGGGGGCAAGAATGGAAGCCAGGGGACCAGGGTGGAGGGGACTGGGCTTTCCAGGCTGGCTATGATGAGGCTGGACCAGGTGGAAGCTGTCATGGGGAGAAGCGAGTGTGAGATTACGGGGCTTCTAGGGATGGGCATCCCAGGAAGGAGAGATGCTGGACAGATCAGATGCTTTGGAGAGAATGAGGAGGATGGAGAAGTGACCACTGGGCTTAACCACACAAGGTCACCAATGATGTTGAGCAGGGCGACTTCCTCGGCATGGGTGTGACCAGGGAGAGACTGGTGGGTGCCTGGGAGGCGCCGAATGGGGCACCTGGCCTAAGGCCATGGGACGAGGTGTTGGGGGCAGCCCGTGGGGCGTGTCGGGCAGGAGGTGGAGGGCAGGGTATGAAGTCCTGCTGGGGCCCTTAGGAGGGGTGTGGTCGGCGCTGGAGTTGCTGGTGTCAGAGACGTTGGCATGTGCCTGCGTGCCCCCGTGTGCACGCCACATTGGCAGTGGGAAGGATGGAATGGGAGAGAGCGGTGGAGCCCCCATGTCTCACTAACTATGCCCCTCCCCCAGGGACAACCTCTACAGGGTAGAGCTGGAGCCCCCCACGTCCACGGAGCTGCGGTACCAGAGGGTGAGGAAGGGGTGCAGGTGGGAGTGGAGGGGTAGGGCGGGGGGGCTTGGCACTGCACCGCAGGGCTGGGTGAATTCGGCCCTGCATGACGGGGTCACTTAGGGCTGCTGGGACCCGATACCCCCTCACCAGCTCTCTGTCTGCAGAAACTGACCTGGAGATCGAATCCCAGCGACATAAACGTGTGTCGGATGAAGGGCAAACAGGAGGTGAGTGAGCCCTGGTTGGGTCCCGGCCCCCGCAAATCAGCCCTGGCATTACCCATGCCCCGCCCCAATCAGGCCAGGCCACGCCCACTCCGCCAGCCCTGGCCACGCCCCAACCCACCTCCTGTCAGCCCTGGCCACGCCCAACCGCCAGCCCTGGCCACATCCCCAAACAACCATGGCCACGGCCACGTCCCCACTCAATTGGTCCTAGCCCGGCCCCTAACCTAGCCGCAATTAGCCATAACCACGCGCCAAATAATTCTGGCTACGCCCACACCTCTGCCCCAGTCAGTCCTACCACTACCCCCATTCTCGTTCCAACAAGCCCAGGCCATGCTCACACCCCACCCAATCGCTCATACCCCACCCAATCGATCAGGTCCCCATCCCGACCCCTACCCTATCAGCCCTGCCTGCCCCACCCCACCCCTGGCCCGCCCCAATAAGCCCAGGCCATGCCCACCCCACCAACTCTGGCCATGCTCCCAACCTGGCCCCAATCAGCCATAACCATGCCCACCACGCCCCAGTTAGTTGTGGTCACGCCCATGCCCCACCTCAGTTGGCCCCGACCACACCCAGGGCGGATCCTTCTCCTCTTCCATCCCAGGTTGGGACTCTGCTGTTGCCATGGTTATGCCCACAGTCTGAACATGCCCACAATGCTGGCTTTGCCTGCACTGCTGATACAAAGTGTTACCCTGTCTGGGCCGCACTGTGTCCCCAGCCAGTCCTAGGTTCAGCCTCTGCCTTGACCCCAAGGAGGGCCCCAGACTTGGCCATGCACACCACAGACCGGCCCTCTACCCACAAAGCTCAGGTTCTGGCCACGCCTGTGACCATGAGCACACCCACATCGCGCTCCCCACTTCCTCCTGTCCCCACCCCAGGGCGAGTGTCGAAACTTTGTAAAGGTGCTGCTCCTTCGGGACGAGTCCACGCTCTTTGTGTGCGGTTCCAACGCCTTCAACCCGGTGTGCGCCAACTACAGCGTGAGTCTTAAGACTCCCTGCGCCCCAGGTCCAACCTCCAGGCCTCTGCTCGCCCGACCTCTGCTGGCCATGACTTTTCCCCAGGCCATGTCACCTCCTCCAGGAAGCCTTCCTGGATATACTCTCCCTGCCTCCTGCCCCTGAGCTCAAGAGGAGTCACCGCTGTCCAAACGAGGCCTGTACAGGGTGCCAGGGAAGCCATAGCTACTTAGACAATGAGCCAGTTGCAGGTCTAACTAGAGATCGACTCTTAAACCCATTTACAGATCAGTAAACTGAGACCCTGAGAGATTAAGTGAGTGGCCAAGGTCACACAGTAATCCATGGTGGACCAGGATTCCCCCTAGAGTGGGGGGCTGAGGGAGCCAGGGGCTGCTAGGCGGGGTCAGGAGATCTGTCACTCAGCCCCCATGGTCCCTGCAGATAGACACCCTGCAGCCCGTGGGAGACAGCATCAGTGGTATGGCCCGCTGCCCGTACGACCCCAAGCACGCCAATGTTGCCCTCTTCTCTGGTAAGTACCCCCGCAACCTCCATCTGATCAGCCCCAGCCAGAGGCAAGACCTAGCATTTTCTACTCCAGCGTCTGGGTCATTTAGAAGGCAGCTGGATGGCCACTCATCCCAGCTGTGACGTGGGCAGACTCTTAGCCCAGGTTTGGGGCTCAGCTGGGATTGAGGCTCAGCAGGGCTCGGGGCTTAGCCAGGGTCAGGGGCTCAGTTAAGGTCAGGGCTTGGATGGAGGTGGGGCTGGGATGGGATCAGGGCTCAGCCTGGAGACAGGGGCTCCCCTAGGCTCAGGGTTCAGTCTCAGAAAATCGAGTTTCGACCCACCCAGCCCCTGGCCTCTGCGGTCTCATCTCTTGCCTGCCTTCCCCACCCACCCCATCCAGACGGGATGCTCTTCACAGCTACTGTTACCGACTTCCTAGCCATTGACGCTGTCATCTACCGCAGCCTCGGGGACAGGCCCACCCTGCGCACCGTGAAACACGACTCCAAGTGGTTCAAAGGTGAGACCAGGAAGAGCAGTGGGCCCAGACCTGGCAGGGCCCAGAACCTGACATTTATCAAATCCCCCCACCAGAATAAGAGTCCCAGAGGAGCTTGGTGGGAGGATTTCCACCACATCTTTGGAATCTGTTGGCCTTTTTGAAGGCTGGAAAGCTAGAGGAACAAGTTTAGTTGGATCTAAAGTAGAACCTGCTGGAAGTGGGTGGCTTAGAAGCCCAAAATGGAACCACAGAAAAGATACAGCAAGACTCAGCTCTTCAACGCATGAGGGAGGAAGATAACAAAAAATAGTTGATGTTGCCATTTGCAGCAAGAGACACAGCGATTTTAGGCTCTTCTGACCTCCCTTCCCCTGCAAAAAACCAAACTTTGAGTCTGTTTCATTTTGCCTGGGTAACCAGCCTAGGTCCCCCCTTCACCATAAAAGCCAGTGAGTTCTTAGCCCCAGAAATCCCCTTTGTCATGTCAGAGGCTGAGTTCTGACCCCTCCTCTCCTGCAGAGCCTTACTTTGTCCATGCGGTGGAGTGGGGCAGCCATGTCTACTTCTTCTTCCGGGAGATCGCGATGGAGTTTAACTACCTGGAGAAGGTGAGGCCAGTGCAGTGGGGCATGGAGTTGAGAGGCTGTGATCATGCAAAGTAGAGGGGGCAGAGGTGGATCCATGAATGCCTACATGGGGCAAGAGGGTCCTGCCCTCCATTTCTGGTTCCCAGGGCCTCCCTTCCAGCCATGATCAGGCCCCGAGCCTGAAGGCATCTACAGAGCAGCCGTGGAGCACTCAGTCCTGACGACGGACTTGAGTTGGAAGTCAGATACACCTGGTGCTGTTGCTGTTCACCTGTCCACCCACCCAGCCACAATCACTTATCCATCCTTCATCCCCTGTCCATCCGTCTACCTGCTCACCCTCCCACTTACCCATCTGCCTGTTTTTCAGCCCACCCACACTTTCATGAATCCATTAATCCATCCACTCATCCACCCACTACCCATCCATCCATCCATGCACTCATCCATCTGTCCACGCATCCATCCACCCATCAGTTCATCCAACCACCCTTCCATCCTATCCGTCCATGAGTCCATCCCTCAGTCCGTCCATCTATCCATCATCTATCCATCCATCTGCCAATCCATTCATCCATCCGTCCATCCCATCCACCCATCCATGCACCCACCCATCCATCCATTTATCTACCCATCCATCCATCCATCCATCCCTCCATCCCTCCATCCCATCCATCCGCCAATCCATCCACCCATCCATTCATCCATCTACCTGTCCAGCCACTCATCCATCCATCATTCATCTATCCATCCATCTGCCAATCCATCCACCCATCCACCCTTCCATCCCGTGCATCGATCCATCTCATCCACCCACTCATCATCTATGCACCCACTTATCTATCCATCCATTTATCTGCCCATCTACCCACACACCCATCCATCCATCCATCCATCCATCCATCCACTCACCCATCCAACCATCCACCCACCCAACTCACCAATCCATCCATCCATCCACTCACCCATCCAACCATCCACCCACACTCACCAATCCATCCATCCATCCATCCATCCATCCATCCATCCACCCACCTACTCATCCACTCACCCATCCAACCATCCACCCACCCAACTCATCCATCCATCCATCCATCCATCCATCCATCCATCCATCCATCCATCCACTCACCCATCCAACCATCCACCCACCCAACTCATCCATCCATCCATCCATCCATCCATCCATCCATCCATCCATCCATCCCATTCATCTGCCAATCCATCCACCCATCCATTCATCCATCTACCTATCCAACCACCCATCCATCCATCCATCATTCATCTGTCCATCTATCTGCCAATCTATCCACCCATCCATTCACCCTTCCATCCCATCCATCCATCCACCCACTCACCCATCCATCCATCCATCCACCCACTCACCCATCCTACCATCCACCCACCCAACTCACCACTCCATCCATCCATCCAACCATCATCCACTCACCCATCCAACCATCCACCCACCCAACTCACCCATTCATCCATCCATCCATCCATCCACACATCCATCCATCCGCCAATCCATCCAGCCATCCATTCATCCATCCACCCTTCCATCCCATCCATCCATCCATCCATCCACACATCCATCCATCCGCCAATCCATCCAGCCATCCATTCATCCATCCACCTTTCCATCCCATCCATCCATCCATCCATCCGTCCACCCACTCACCCATCCATCCATCCATCCACCCACTCACCCATCCTACCATCCACCCACCCAACTCACCAATCCATCCGTCCACACATCCATCCATCCGCCAGTCCATCCAGCCATCCATTCATCCATCCACCCTTCCATCCCATCCATCCACCCTTCCATCCCATCCATCCACCCTTCCATCTCATCCACCCACTCATCGTCTATGCACCCACCCATCTATTCATCCACTTATCTGCCCATCCACCTACACATCCATCCATCCATCCATCCATCCATCCATCCATCCATCCATCCATTCACCCATCCAACCATCCACCCACCCAACTCACCCATCCATCCATCCTTCCATCCACACATCCATCCATCCATCCATCCATCCATCCATCATTCATCCATCCATCCAACCACCCATCCATCCATCCATCATTCATCCGTCCATCCATCTGCCAATCCATCCACCATCCATTCATCCATCCACCCTTCCATCCCATGCATCCATCCATCTCATCCACCCACTCATCATCTATGCACCCACCCATCTATCCATCCATTTATCTGCCCATTCACCCACACACCCATCCATCCGTCCACCCACTCACTGATCCAACCATCCACTCACCCAACTCACCCATCCTTCCTTCCTTCCTTCCATCCACCCATCCATCCATCCATCCATCCATCCATCCATCCACCCACCCACTTATCCATCCATTCATTCATGCACTTATTCACCTATCCGTGCATCCGTCCATCCATTCACCTAGCTTTCTCTCCATCCATCTGTTCATCCATCCACCCACCCATCCATCTACTTATCTACCAACTGCCTAATTACCTTGTCCTCTGTCATCATCTCCTCCATTATCTATCATCCTTTTTCAGATGTATTCATTTATCCATCCACCCACTCATCCCTCTATTGTAATCATCCATCCATCTATTCATCCACTCATCCATCCATCCAGGGAACCAGGCAGTGCTGAAGTGCACAGACTGCCACTAACTACTATTGTGACCTTGGCCAGTCACTTCCTTTTATCCGTGCCTCTTATCAGTTTCCCCATATGTACGATGGGGGGATATCAGTAGGCAGCCCTCAGAAAGAGTGTAAGAGATGTGAGAATAAAACATTTCTTCACGGAAACAGTGATGATTACGGTTGTCACTGTTGCTATTATCATCACTGACATTCCCACTGGGGATTTCTGCAAGGGAAGCCGGTGCCCAGAGAGGAACGGTGACTGGCCGGGGTCCCACCAGAGCCAGGGTCAGACTCCTCCATCCCGGCTTGGGTGGTGGGTGGTAGAGCCTGTGAGCAGGCCTTCCTGGGACACAGAGCTCAGGCCTCCGTCTGTCCACTGTCACGCCCAGGTGGTGGTGTCCCGCGTGGCCCGAGTGTGCAAGAACGACGTGGGAGGCTCCCCCCGCGTGCTGGAGAAGCAGTGGACGTCCTTCCTGAAGGCGCGGCTCAACTGCTCTGTGCCCGGGGACTCCCACTTCTACTTCAACGTGCTGCAGGCTGTCACAGGCGTGGTCAGCCTCGGGGGCCGGCCCGTGGTCCTGGCTGTGTTTTCCACACCCAGCAACAGGTCAGCGCCCACCAATGGGAGCGAACTGGGAGCATTTGGTAGGCATGGGTAGAGAGCGCTTGCGTTCATTCACTCCTCAGATATGCCCAGGGTCCTAGGTTGGGCACCACTGGATTAGACCCCTGAGAGGCCTCGGCCCCAGGCTGGGGTGAGACAAGCTGACAATGACCCTCTAAGTCCCTTTGGTCAGAACTGGGCCAGAGATATCCTCATCCTCTGCCTTTGGGGAGAGGAGCAGGGAGGGCTTCCTGGAGGAGGGGACATTGGAGCTAGGCTTCAGGTGTGAGATGGAGGAAGAGGGAAGGGTGTTCAAAGTTGGAGAAACAGCACATGCAAAGGTCCTGAGGCTGCAGTGAGTTCGGTATATTTAAGGAATCTCGAGAGGGCCTGTGTGGGAAGGGAACCAGGGGAGAATGGACAACACGAGGGCAGGGAAGTGATGGGATGGCTCAGGCAAGGCCTTGTGAGCTGTAGGCAGAAACCTGGACTTTTTCCTGAGAGCACTGGGAGTCATGGAAGAGTGAAGAGCAAGAGGGATGAGATCAGATTTGCATTTTTGTTTGTTTGTTTGTTTTTGAGACGAGTCTCGCTCTGTCGCCCAGGCTGGAGTGCAATGGCACTATCTCGGCTCACTGCAACCTCCGCCTCCCGGGTTCAAGCATTTCTCTGCCTCAGCCTCCCAAGTGGCTGGGATTACAGGCACCTACCACCACTCCTGGCTAACTTTTTTTGTATTTTTAGTAGAGATGGGGTTTCACCATCTTGGCCAGGCTGGTCTTGAACTCCTAACCTTGTGATCCACCCGCCTCGACCTCCCAAAGTGCTGGGATTACAGGCGTGAGCCACTGCACCCGGCGGTTTGGTTTTTTTTTTTGAGACGGAGTTTCACTCTTGTTGCCCAGGCTGGAGTGCAGTGGCATGATCTTGGCTCACCACAACCTCTGCCTCCCCAGTTCAAGCAATTCTCCTGCCTCAGCCTCCTGAGTAGCTGGGATTACTGGCGCGTGCCACCATGCCCGGCTTATTTTGTATTTTTAGTAGAAACGAGGTTTCTCCACTTTGGTCAGGCTGGTCTCAAACTCCTGACCTCGTGATCCACCCTCCTTGACCTCCCAAAGTGCTGGAATTACAGACGTGGGCCACCGTACCCGGCCCAGATTTGCGTTTTTTAAAAAGCCTGCTTGTGGGCCGGGCACAGTGGCTCACGCCTATAATCCCAGCACTTTGAGAGGCTGAGGAGGGCAGATCACTTGAGGTCAGGAGTTTGAAACCAGCCTGGCCAACATGGTGAAACCCCGTCTCTACTAAAAATACAAAAATTGGCTGGGTGTGGTGGCAGGCACCTGTAATTCCAGCTACTCGGGAGGCTGAGGCAGGAGAATTGCTTGAACCCGGGTGGTGTAGGTTACAGTGACCCGAGATCACGCCACTGCACTCCAGCCTGGACGACAGAGCAAGACTGGGTCTCAAAAAAAGAAAAAGCCTGCTGGGGAATGGGTTCTAACAGTGGCAGTGGAGAGGCAGGACATCCAATTAAATAGGGATGGGGGCCTGGACAGGGGGCGGCCTCGTAGACCCTGAACTGCGGTCCAATCTGAGATGTTACTTAGGAGGAACGGCTGCATTTGACAGATGCGGGAGGGACACGGGAACTCTCTGGCGCAGGAAGACTGAAGATTCGCTGGATCCTGCAGACAGAGGCTCCTGCATGTGATTGTCTGAGATGGGGCCTCCCACCGGGCTCACCAAATTCTTTCATCCCAACCCCTCAGCATCCCTGGCTCGGCTGTCTGCGCCTTTGACATGACACAGGTGGCAGCTGTGTTTGAAGGCCGCTTCCGAGAGCAGAAGTCCCCCGAGTCCATCTGGACGCCGGTGCCGGAGGATCAGGTGCCTCGACCCCGGTGAGAATCCCCCCATCCTGAGTCACGTGCCCAGATGAGGTCCTGATCCCCAGGGCCGGGGACTGAGGCTTCCAGGTGGTTATTTAGCTGATGCTGAGTTCAGCTGTACCCATTATGCAGATGGGAAAAACTGAGGCTGGGCACAGTGGCTCATGCCTGTAATCCCAGCACTCTGGGAGGCTGAGGTGGGCGGATCACCTGAGGTTAAGGGTTTCAGACCAGCCTGACCAATGTGGCGAAACCCTGTCTATACTAAAAATACAAAAATTAGCTGGGCGTGGTGGCACTATGCCTGTAATCCCAGCCGCTCGGGTGGCTGAGGAGGAGAATCACTTGAACCCAGGAGGTGGAGGTTGCAGTGAGCCAAAGCACTCCAGCCTGGGCGACAGATTGAGATTCCATCTCAAAAAAAAAAAAAACTGAGGGCCGTTGGGCAAAGCAATGGGTACCCCTGGTGAACCAGGCCCCTTTATGAGGCCCTTTACGTTCGTCCTGACCACACCCCTGCCACCCCCAGGCCTGGGTGCTGCGCAGCCCCCGGGATGCAGTACAATGCTTCCAGCGCCCTTCCGGACGACATCCTAAACTTTGTCAAGACCCACCCTCTGATGGACGAGGCGGTGCCCTCGCTGGGCCACGCGCCCTGGATCGTGCGGACCCTGATGAGGTCAGTCCTGGAGGGGCACGGCGTGGCGAGGGGAGAGAGGATGGGGTAGACTGAGGGTGAGAGGATGCAGATGCTCAACACAGCTGAGCCCATGGCTGCCGGCGCTGCCCAGAGAGCTGGAGACAGAGAGAGACACAGAGAGACAGAGAGGGAAAGATGGAGAGACACTAGGAGAGAGATAGAGAATAAAGAGATAGAGAGGGATGAAGAGGTGACAGGCAGGGTGCCAGGCACAGTGGCTCATGCTTGTAATCCCAGCACTTTGGGAGGCCGAGGCGGCCAGATCACCTAAGGCCAGGAGTTTGAGACCACCCTGGCCAACATGGAGAAACCTCGTCTCTACTTAAAATACAAAAATTAGCCAGCCGTGGTGGCAGGTGCCTGTAGTCCCAGCTACTTGGGAGGCTGAGGCAGGAGAATCACTTGAACCCAGGAGGCAGAGGTTGCAGTGAGCCAAGATCATGCCACTGGCACTCCAACCCTTGGGCCACGGAGGGAGACTACGTTCTCAAAAAAAAAAAAAAAAAAAACGAAAAGATAAGACGTAGACAACAGACAGACGCACACTAGGAGAACAAAGGAGGAGAGAGACAGAGACAAGGAGAGAGACAATCAGAGACAGACAGATACCCAAAGAGACAGAGACAGGGAAGAGAGACAGAGAGAGAAAGAGACTAAAAGGTACACAGGCACACATACACGTCAGGAGAAAGGGGGGCCGGGCACAGTGGCCCACGCCTGTAATCCCAGCACTTTGGGAGGCCGAGGTGGGAGGATCACTTGAGGACAGGAGTTTGAAACCAGCCTGGCCAAATGGTGAAACCCTGTCTCTACTAAAAATATAAAAATAATCAGCTGGGTGTGGTGGCGGGCGCCTGTAGTCCCAGCTACTTGGGAGGCTGAGGCGGGAGAATCGCTTGAACCCAGGAGGCAGAGGATGCAGTGAGCCGAGATCGCGTCACTGCACTACAGCCTGGGCGACAGAGCGAGACTCTGTCTCAGAAAAACAAAACAAAACAAAAATTGGCCAGGCGTGATGGCACGCACCTATAGTCCCCGCTACTCAGGAGGCTGAGGTAAGAGAATCGCTTGAACCTGGGAGGCGGAGGTTGCGGTGAGCTGAGATTGTGCCACTGCACTCCAGCCTGGGCGACAGAAGGAGACTCTGTCTCAACAAAAGCGACAGGGCCAAGTAGAGTCTGGTTTGGGGTTATGTTTCTGGCGAGTGTGTCCACGTGCCTGTGTGATCACCCATGTCTCCAGCATCCATGCACACACGCATTTGTTGCTGTCATGTGATGTGTCACTGTCTGTATGCACCCGTGTAACCATGCCCATGCCCGTGTTGGTGGCAGGTGGTGGCCGGAGGACCCCTGGGGGATATGGGGCCAGCCTGACCCTCCCCTGCCCTGTCCCCCAGGCACCAGCTGACTCGAGTGGCTGTGGACGTGGGAGCCGGCCCCTGGGGCAACCAGACTGTTGTCTTCCTGGGTTCTGAGGCAGGGACTGTCCTCAAGTTCCTCGTCCGGCCCAACGCCAGTACCTCAGGGACATCTGGGCTCAGTGTCTTCCTGGAAGAGTTTGAGACCTACCGGCCAGACAGGTGAGTCCAGGCAAAGACGGGGAGGGGTCGCCAGCAGGAGGGGAGATGGGCTGAGTTGCCCTCAGCCTCACCACTCTGCTTGTCCCCAGGTGTGGACGGCCGGGCGGTGGCGAGACAGGGCAGCGGCTGCTGAGCTTGGAGCTGGACGCAGCTTCAGGGGGCCTGCTGGCTGCCTTCCCCCGCTGCGTGGTCCGAGTGCCCGTGGCTCGCTGCCAGCAGTACTCCGGGTGCATGAAGTGAGTGTCCACCCCAGGCCCGCCATGGGCAGGAAATGAGGGAGGATGGGCACAGGGAGGGAGAGCTGGGTTCCAATCAAAAGCCCAACAACATCCTAGTCATTGAGCTGGGCAGAGGGCACGGCCCATGCAAAGGCCCAGGGGCAGGACCACGCCTGGTGTGTTGGAAGAACAGTGAGGTGGCCGGTGTGGCTGCAGCAGAATGAGCAAGGGGGAGAGAGGGAGGAGGGGAGGACGGAGAGGGGATGGGAGGGGACGGGGCGGTTCGTGCAGAGCTTTGTGGGCCTCAGGGAGGACGTGGGCTTTGACCTCGAGGGAGGTGGGAGCCATGTAGGGTTGCAGGCAGAGGAGGGACTGGCCGTGACTCCGGTGCTTACAGGTGCCCTCTGGTGGCTGCTCCAGGAGGAGACTGCAGGGGAAGGAGAACCAGGGACCACGGCAGAGGCTGTTTCCCTGTCTGTAAAATGGGAGGAAAGCTAGGATGCATGCCAGTGCTGGCGCACGCCTGGGCTCCGTGTGAGCCGTCAGTGCAGAGGACCCTGCCTCCTGCCCACCATTATTGCAACGATGACCCAGTGGCTCCAAGTCCAAGGGCATAGCCTCTGGCTCGAGGCCTGGGCTCCCATCTCAGCTCTGCTGCTTGGGCAGACGTTTACTTTCTGGAGCCTCAGTTCACTTACCTGTAAAATGGGGAGTGAACAGTGTCCTGCACACGGGTTTGTTCTGAGGACTCCAGGAGTTGCTATTAAGAGGAGGGACTGGGCTTCTAGCTCACGCCTGTCGTCCTGGCACTTTGGAAGGCCAAGGCAGGAGGACTGCTGCTTGAGCCCAGAAGTTCGAGACCAGTCTGGGCAACACAGCATAGTGAGACCCTGTCTCTAAAAAAAAAAGTCAGCAGGGCGTGGTGGCACACATCTGTGGTCCCAACTACTCAGAAAGCTGAGGCAGGAGGATCACTTGAGCCTGGGAGGTTGAGGCTGCAGTGAACTATGATCATGCCACTGTACTCCAGCTTGAGTGACAGAGTATGACCCTGTCTCTTAAAAAAAAAAATTAAATTTTAATTAAAAAAAAAATTTTTTAATTTAAAAATTAAAAAAACGCCAGGCATGGTGGCTCGCACCTGTAATCCCACCACTTTGGGAGTCTGAGGTGGATGGATCACCTGAGGTCAGGAGTTCCAGACCAGCATGGCCAACCTGGTGAAACCCTGACTCTACTAAAAATGCAAAGATTAGCCAGGTATGGTGGTACGTGCCTGTAATCCCTGCTACCTGGGAGGCTGAGGCAGCAGAATTGCTTGAACCTGGGAGGCAGAGGTTGCAGTGAACCAAGATGCTGCCACTACACTCCAGCCTGGGCAACAAGAGCGAAATTCCGTCTCAAAAACAAATAAACAGATAAATAAAATAAAATAAAAATAAAGAGGCAGGTGCTTGGAACAGGGCCCACAGGTCACCATCACCGTTGAGGCTGTGTGAGTGACTTGGACACTTGTCCCATTCGGTCCCTGGTCTGCTCTAGGAACTGTATCGGCAGTCAGGACCCCTACTGCGGGTGGGCCCCAGATGGCTCCTGCATCTTCCTCAGCCCAGGCACCAGGTACTGTGGGAGAGGGAGGTGGGTGGAGGGTGTGTCAGACCCGCCCATGATCCAGGACCCCCTGGATCTCTGACTGTGAGAGGGGCCTCTGCTGACTGTGCCTCCTCTCCCCATTAGAGCCACCTTTGAGCAGGACGTGTCCGGGGCCAGCACCTCAGGCTTAGGGGACTGCACAGGTGAGTTGGGAGGATGGCAGGCTAAGACCCCCTCCCCCACTACCATGGGGGAGGGGAGGGAGGAGGCTGGAGGACCCTGGAATCCTCCGGGAGGTGGGTGGGGAAACTGGACTCCATCAGAGCTTTAGAAAGGCATGGAAAGGTCTTTCTATGCCTTTCTAAAGGTTATTGGGGAGGGAGATAGGGGAAGAACAGAGACCCCAGAAGACAGACACACCAAGAAACAGGCTTTGACAAGGATGAAGAGACAACAGAAGGCAGACAGACGAACTTCAATAGGACAGAAGGGGCCAGGCGGTGGCAACTCCTGCCTATAATCCCAGCATTCTGAGTGGCCAAGACAGGAGGGTCACTTGAGGTCAGGAGTTCGAGACCAGCCTGGGCAACATAGTGAAACCCTGTCTCTAAAACAAAAACCCAAAAATAATCCAGACGTGGCAGTGCATGCCTGTAGTCCTAGCTACTCGGGAGGCTGAGGCAGGAGGATTGCTTGAGCCAGGGAGGTGGAGGCTGCAATGAACTGTGGTCAGGCCACTGCACTCCAGCTTGGGCAACAGAGCAAGAATCTGTCTTTTTTTTTTTTTTTTTTTGAGACAGAGTTTTACTCTGTCACCCAGGCTAGAGTACAGTGGTGTGATCTCAGCTCACTGCAACCTCCATCTCCTGGGTTCAGTTGACTTGTTGGCCATGCTGGTCTCAAACTCCTGACGTCAGGTGATCTGCCCGCCTCAGCCTCCCAAAATGCTGGGATTACAGGTGTGAGCCACCGTGCCTGGCCGAGATCCTGTCTTTAATAAAACAGAGGTATCTGGAGGCAGGGTCGCACTGAGCTGCACCACTGCACTGCAGCCTGGGGGACTCTGGCTCAAAACAAAAACAAAAAAATTAAAAAATAAAACAATTAGGCCAGGTGAGGTGGCTCATGCCTGTAATCCCAGCACTTTGGGAGGCAGAGGTGGGCGGATCAGGAGATCAGGAGTTTGAGACCAGCCTGGCCAACATGGTGAAACCCTGTCTCTACTAAAAATACAAAAATTAGCTGGGTTCACGTGGTGGCGCACACCTGTAGTCCCAGCTACTCTAGAGGCTAAGGCAGGAGAATCACTTGAACCTGGGAGGTGGAGGTTGCAGTGAGTCGAGATCACCCCACTGCACTCCAGCCTGGCACACAAAGTAAGACTCCATCTAAAAAAATAATAAAAAGGCCGGGCACGGTGGCTCACGACTGTAATCCCAGCACTTTGGGAGGCGAGGTGGGCGGATCATGGGGTCAGAAGATCGAGACCATCTTGGCTAACACAATGAAACCCCATCTCTACTAAAAATACAAAAAATTAGCCTGGTGCGGTGGCGCCTGTGGTCCTAGCTACTCGGGAGGCTGAGGCAGGAGAATGGCGTGAACCCGGGAGGCGGAGCTTGCAGTGAGCTGAGATCCGGCCACAGCACTCCAGCCTGGGTGACAGAGCGAGACTCCCTCTCAAAAAAATTAAATAAATAAATAAATAAAAATAAAATAATAACAACAACAAATAAAAATAATGAAAAAGAGGACAGAGGGCCTGAGGAGGTAGGAGAGGTGCCTGGGCCCCCCCTCGGCCCCGCTAACCCCCCTGTGCTCCCCCGCCAGGACTCCTGCGGGCCAGCCTCTCAGAGGACCGCGCGGGGCTGGTGTCGGTGAACCTGCTGGTGACATCGTCGGTGGCGGCCTTCGTGGTGGGAGCCGTGGTGTCCGGCTTCAGCGTGGGCTGGTTCGTGGGCCTCCGTGAGCGGCGGGAGCTGGCCCGGCGCAAGGACAAGGAGGCCATCCTGGCGCACGGGGCGGGCGAGGCGGTGCTGAGCGTCAGCCGCCTGGGCGAGCGCAGGGCGCAGGGTCCCGGGGGCCGGGGCGGAGGCGGCGGCGGCGCCGGGGTTCCCCCCGAGGCCCTGCTGGCGCCCCTGATGCAGAACGGCTGGGCCAAGGCCACGCTGCTGCAGGGCGGGCCCCACGACCTGGACTCGGGGCTGCTGCCCACGCCCGAGCAGACGCCGCTGCCGCAGAAGCGCCTGCCCACCCCGCACCCGCACCCCCACGCCCTGGGCCCCCGCGCCTGGGACCACGGCCACCCCCTGCTCCCCGCCTCCGCTTCGTCCTCCCTCCTACTGCTGGCGCCCGCCCGGGCCCCCGAGCAGCCCTCCGCGCCTGGGGAGCCGACCCCCGACGCCCGCCTCTATGCTGCCCGGCCCGGCCGCGCCTCCCACGGCGACTTCCCGCTCACTCCCCACGCCAGCCCGGACCGCCGGCGGGTGGTGTCGGCGCCCACGGGCCCCTTGGACCCAGCCTCAGCCGCCGATGGCCTCCCGCGGCCCTGGAGCCCGCCCCCGACGGGCAGCCTGCGGAGGCCGCCGGGCCCCCACGCCCCTCCGGCCGCCACCCTGCGCCGCACCCACACGTTCAACAGCGGCGAGGCCCGGCCTGGGGACCGCCACCGCGGCTGCCACGCCCGGCCCGGCACAGACTTGGCCCACCTCCTCCCCTATGGGGGGGCGGACAGGACTGCGCCCCCCGTGCCCTAGGCCAGGGGCCCCCCGATGCCTTGGCAGTGCCAGCCACGGGAACCAGGAGCGAGAGACGGTGCCAGAACGCCGGGGCCCGGGGCAACTCCGAGTGGGTGCTCAAGCCCCCCCCGCGACCCACCCGCGGAGTAGGGGGCCCCCTCCGCCACAAGGAAGCACAACCAGCTCGCCCTCCCCCCACCCGGGGCCGCAGGACGCTGAGACGGTTTGGGGGTGGGTGGGCGGGAGGACTTTGCTATGGATTTGAGGTTGACCTTATGCGCGTAGGTTTTGGTTTCTTTTGCAGTTTTGGTTTCTTTTGCGGTTTTCTAACCAATTGCACAACTCCGTTCTCGGGGTGGCGGCAGGCAGGGGAGGCTTGGACGCCGGTGAGGAATGGGGGGCCACAGCTGCAGACTCAAGCCCTCCCCCACCCCTGGAAAGGTCCCTCCCCGACCCAGGCCCCTGGCGTGTGTGGGTGTGCGTGCGTGTGTGTGCCGTGTTCGTGTGCAAGGGGCTGGGGAGGTGGGCGTGCGTGTGCGTGCCAGCGAGGGCTGCTGTGGGCGTGTGTGTCAGGTGGGCCACGCGTGCAGGGTGTGTGTCCACAAGCGACGATCGTGGTGCCTCCAGCGGCCTGGGCGTTGGCTGAGCCGACGCTGGGGCTTCCAGAAGGCCGGGGGCCTCCGAGGTGCCGGTTAGGAGTTTGAACCCCGCTCTGCAGAGGGAAGCGGGGACAATGCCGGGGTTTCAGGCAGGGGACACGGGGAGGGCCTGTCCAGAAGTCACATCGGCAGCAGCTGTCTAAAGGGCTTGGGGCCTGGGGGACGGTGAAGGTGGGCGGGGCCCCTCTGTAAATACGGCCCCAGGGTGGTGAGAGACTCCCATGCCACCCGTCCCCTTGTGACCTCCCCCCTCTGACCTCCAGCTGACCATGCATGCCACGTGGCCGGCTGGGTCCTCCACCCTCTCTGGAGTTTGCCTCCCCCAGCCCCCTCCCCATCAATAAAACTCTGTTTACAACCACCGGCCCCCATGACTCTGGCTCTGCTCTGCCTCCTAGGGGTGGCATGGGTGGGAGGGCACCCTCAAAAGTCAAGACCAGGCCAGGTGTGGTGGCTCATGGCCTGTAATCCTGGCACTTTGGGAGGCCGAGGTGGGCGGATCACTTGAGGTCAAGAGTTCAACACCAGCCTGGCCAACATGGCAAAACCCCGTCTCTACTAAAAATACGAAAAAATTAGCCAGGTGTGGTGGTGGGTGCCTGTAATCCCAGCTACTCGGCCGACTGAGGCAGGAGAATCGCTTGAATCTGGGAGTCAGAGGTTTCAGTGAGCTGAGGTCATACCACTGCACTCCAGCCTGGGGTGACAGAGCAAGACTATCTCAAAAAAAGAAAGAAAGAAAGAAAGAAAGAAAAGGCTGGGTCAAAACAAATCTGGGGAGCTGAGTGTGGGAACGTCTTCATCTGCATAGCAGCCAGTTTCTTTCTTTTTTTTTTTTTGAGACGGAGTCTCGCTCTGTCGCCCAGGCTGGAGTGCAGTGGTGTGATCTCGGCTCACTGCAGACCCCACATCCCAGGTTCATGTGATTCTCCTTTCTCAGCCTCTCGAGTAGCTGGGACTACAGGCACCCACCACCATGCCTAGCTAATTTTTGTAATTTTAGTAGAGACGGGGTTTCATCATATTGGTCAGGCTGGTCTTGAACTCCTGACCTCAGGTGATCTGCCCACCTCGGCCTCCCAAAGTGCTGGGATTACAGGCGTGAGCTACCACGCCCGGCCAGCCTTATGAATTTTGTTTTAAGTGGGACAAGAAGTCACCAGAGAGTTTTAAGCAGGGATGTGATCTGATTTCATTTTAAGGGATCATTTTGTTACTGTGTCACCACATTTCACAAGCCTTCCTTTCTCTCAGTCCATGTTGATTAAGACCTACGAACGGCTGGGCTCTGGGGACAGGGCAGGGTACAAGACAGATTGAGTGCAGTGGCTCACGGCTCAGAGAGACTGAGAGGATTCCTTGAGTCCAGCAGTTCAAGACCAGCCTCCTCCTACAAAAAAATTTTTTAAAATTAGCTGGGCATGGTAGCATGTGCCTATATTCCCAGCTACTCAGGAGGCTGAGGCAGGAGAATTGCTTGAACCCAGGAGGTGGAGGTTGCAGTGAGCCGAGATCGTGCCACTGCACTCCAGCCTGGGCGACAGTGCAAGACTCGGTCTCAAAAAAAAGAAAAGAAAAAGTCGGCCGGGCGCGGTGGCTCAAGCCTGTAATCCCAGCACTTTGGGAGGCCGAGACGGGCGGATCACGAGGTCAGGAGATCGAGACCATCCTGGCTAACACGGTGAAACCCCGTCTCTACTAAAAATACAAAAAACTAGCCGGGCGAGGTGGCGGGCGCCTGTAGTCCCAGCCTCCGGGAGGCTGAGGCCGGAGAATGGCGTGAACCCAGGAGGCGGAGCTTGCAGTAAGCTGAGATCCGGCCACGGCACTCCAACCTGGGCGGCAGAGCGAGACTCCGTCTCAAAAAAAAAAAAAAAAAAAAAAAAAAGAAAAAGTCATAGGTGCAGATAAAACTGACACATCATACCTAAATATTTAGAACTCAACAAGAATGCAAGCACTCTGTAGCCAAGTCCATGAGATGCAGCCAAAGCTGTTCTCAAAGGGAAATTTGTAGCCTCCAAATGCATTTAATAGGAAATGAGGAGGAATGGAAACAATAGTATGGATGTCAGATTCAGATGAAGAGAAAAAGGGGCAGAAAGAGCCCTCAGAGATCTGAGTTCAGCTTCATAGATGGGGAAACTGAGGCCAAGAAAAGTTAAGTCACTTGCCAAAGGTTACAGAGCAAAGCTGTTTATGACAGAGCTGGAATTCAGAACCAGGTTTGGTTCCTCCCAAGCCACTGTCCAAGGACCATAGAGACTTTTGGCTTTACTCACTATTGAATTGTATTTTTTAAATGACTTCATTTTTAAAAAGCAATATCAACATACCACGAAGTCAAGACAAGAGTTTTTTTGTTCTTTTCAGTGAGCTTTCTGGTTGCTCAAGTTTATGGTAAATAACTCCTCTTGCTAAGAGCTGTCGCTGTCTCCAGGAATGGTGCCTTGCAAAGCTTGATCCTTGAACTCTGGGTTGGGGGAAGTGAGGATGCAACTAGAGAGACTCTTGGATGTCCCCCCAAAATCAGGAAACAAGGAAAGAAAAACCTGGGTTTTAGAAGCAGGGTCAAAAAGAGGTTGAACAGGAAACAATTTCCAGGAAGCAATTTTGTAATCCTGACCCCTCCCCTTTCCCCGCCTGGCTTAGCCTCAGCCCCTGTCAGGAACTGATGGGGGTGGGGACTTTCCCGGGGTTGGTTCCCCGGCCCCCAGTCCAGGCAGGTATAAGGCCACCTCCCCAGGCCAGGACAACCCAGAAGCAAAAGAGAAGAGCTACCATGGCCTCTTGGAGCAGACGGCGACCCGAAAGGTAGGTCCCCACACTACCTGTCCTAGGCAGGTCTGACCCACATTCCAGCTGACCCACTGAAGTCACAGGGAGCAGACACAGACCTGGAGCCTGGGACAGATCAACCTTAACTATGACAGAAAGACTGACACACACACACAGACACACACACACACACACCCCTGCAGAAGCCCAGGTGGGCATGGGCAGGATGGAGCCGGGGGAGGCTTCTTGTTAGAGTTCTGGGGCCACAGTGACCAAGGCTGTCCAGATCATGTCTGATGGCTGCTGGGCCAGGGAAGCCCTGGAGACGGAGGGGAAGCTCCAGGCTTCCAAGGGTGCTAGGTGTAAACCACCCCTTCCCAAGGCCAAATGCCCACCCTCAGACTGGGCCAAAGCAGGATACACTTTTCATGTTCAGAGGCTGCAGTGAGCTATGATCATACCAATGCCCTCCAGGCTGGGCAACCGAGCAAGACCCTATCCCAAAAACGTGAACCTGAACATCTGTCTTCCTCCAAGCACCCAACTGGTCAAGGCTGGACAGAAAGACCAGGATCCCAGAGCAGAGAAGTCTTCATGGAAAAGAGGGCATTGGAGCTGGGGCTTTGCAGGATGAATAGGAGTTCACATCAAAACACAGAACCAGGGAGACAAGGACTGACCCAGAAAACAAGCAAGATCAGAAGAAACTAGCAAGTTGGACTGTGAATAATTAGCAGCTCATGGGGGCTAGGCTGGTGATGGGGAAGTGTATTCATATTATGCGGGAGTTACACTCAGAAACTCAACTTTCCTAGAATTGTAATTCTCCCTGCAACAGGCGCCACTTCTGGCAGCTGTGGGGGGTGAGGGTAGAAGCTGGGAGAGGAGAAGGAAGCAACTGCCCTAGTCCAGGTAAGAGATGAGGTGGCATAGTCCAGGCTGGTAGCCGCAGAGATGGGAAGAAGTGGGCAAATTTGGGGGTGTATTTTCACCTAGCTGAGTGTATTTTCACTGTGGGTTAGTAAGCATCTTCTGTTACTGCCTGCAGCCCAGGGGGCTTTCAACCCCATCTTTCTAGAACCCTGTTCCTGCTGCTGCTATTGGCGGCCTCAGCCTGCGGGGTCACCCTGAGCCCCAAAGACTGCCAGGTGTTCCGCTCAGACCATGGCAGCTCCATCTCCTGCCAACCACCTGCCAAAATCCCCAGCTACCTGCCAGCCGACACTGTGCACCTGGCCGTGGAGTTCTTCAACCTGACCCTCCTGCCAGCCACCCTCCTCCAGGGCGCCTCTAAGCTCCAAGAATTGCACCTCTCCAGCAACAGGCTGGAAAGCCTCTCACCCGAATTCCTGCGGCCAGTGCCGCAGCTGAGGGTGCTGGATCTAACTCGAAACTCCCTGACCGGGCTGCCCCCAGGCCTCTTCCAGGCCTCAGCCACCCTGGACACCCTGGTGTTGAAAGAAAACCAGCTGGAGGTCCTGGAGGCCTCGTGGCTGCACGGCCTGAAAGCCCTGAGGCATCTGGACCTGTCTGGGAACTGCCTCCGGAAACTGCCCCCTGGGCTGCTGGCCAACTTCACCCTCCTGCGCATCCTTGACCTTGCGGAGAACCAGTTGGAGACCTTGCCCCCTGACCTTCTGCAGGGTCCGCTGCAATTAGAACGGCTACATCTAGAAGGCAACAAATTGCAAGAACTGGGAAAGGATCTCCTCGTGCCGCAGCCAGACCTGCGCTACCTTTTCCTGAACGGCAACAAGCTGGTCAGGGTGGCAGCCGGTGCCTTCCAGGGCCTGCGGCAGCTGGACATGCTGGACCTCTCCAATAACTCGCTGGCCAGTGTGCCCGAGGGGCTCTGGACATCCCTAGGGCAGCCAAACCGGGACATGCAGGATGGCTTTGACATCTCCAGCAACCCCTGGATCTGTGACCAGAACCTGAGCGACCTCTATCGTTGGCTTCAGGCCCAAAAAGACAAGATGTTTTCCCAGAATGACACGCGCTGTGCTGGGCCTGAAGCCGTGAAGGGCCAGACGCTCCTGGCAGTGGCCGAGTCCCAGTGAGACCTGGGGCTGGGGTTGAGGGTGGGGGGTCTGGTAGAACACTGCAACCCACTTAGCAAATAATCCTGCCTTTGGCCAGGCGCGGTGGCTCACGCCTGTAATCCCAGCACTTCGGGAGGCCAAGGCGGGCGGATCACGAGGTCAGGAGATCGAGACCATTCTGGCTAACACGGTGAAACCCCATCTCTACTAAAAATACAAAAAAAATTAGCCAGATGTGGTGGCGGGCACCTGTAGTCTCAGCTACTCGGGAGGCTGAGGCAGGAGAATGGCGTGAACCGGGGAGGCGGAGCTTGCAGCGAGCAGAGATTGCGCCACTGCACTCTAGCCTGGGCGACGGAGCGAGATTCCATCTCAAAAATAAAAAACAAAAATAAAAAACAAATAATCCTGCCTTTTACAGGTGAGACTCAGGGCTGTCCATTACGGCTGGGACCCCATTTCACCCACGCATGCTTCTAAAACACACGATGGACTTTCCTTACCCGTGCCCAAGATGTGCCCTCTCTCTGGAATGCCATTCCCCGTTTCCCAGATCTCTTGATCTCTGGGTTCTCCCAGCCCCCTTGTCCTTCCCTCCGGCTGAGCCCTGGCCACACTGGGCCTGCCTTTCTCTGACTCTGTCTTCCCCAAGTCAGGGGGCTCTCTGAGTGCAGGGTCTGGTGCTGAGTCCCACTTAGCTTGGGGTCAGACCCAAGGGGTTTAATAAATAACTCTTGAAGGCCGGGCGCGGTGGCTCAAGCCTGTAATCCCAGCACTTTGGGAGGCCGAGACGGGCGGATCACGAGGTCAGGAGATCGATAACTGTGATTATCAGGCGCCCGCCACCGATTGACCTAGAACAGCTAAGATCTTTTTGTTATTTTTTATAAGTAGACAACGGAGGTTTCACCAGTATCGTCATCAGGCTGGTCTTGAACTCCTGACCGTTCATGATTCACCCCGTCTTGCCTCAAAAGTGCTAGGATTCAGGCATGAGTCACCGCAGCGCCGGGGGATTTATTCAAATATTGCGGGGGGGCTACCAGGAACCTGGCTGTTCATTGCGTGCCTGGGATGCCACAGATGTACGGCGCATGGGCGGGGCTCACATTTACATTTAGTGACTTTTTAGAGACACAGTTTCCACTCTGTCGCGCCAGACTGGAGGTGCAGTGCACGAAATCCTGCTCCACTGCAACGCTCCACCATCCCCAGGTTCAACGCGATTCTCGGTGGCCTGACCCTCCGAGTAGGGCTGGTAATGACAGGCACATGTGCCATTATCGGCCTGGCTACATTTTTGTAATTTCTTGTATTCTTGTAAGTAGAGACGGGGGGTTTTGCCCCATGTTGGCCACAGCGCTGGTCTCGACAACTCCTGACCTCGGGTGATCCTGCCTGGCCTCAGCCTGTCAAAGTCGCTGGTAAGCCCCAAAGGGATTACATGTGCTGAGCGCCACGGCACCCCAGGTGTACGTCGCATTTTTTAGGGACGCTGGCCGAAAATCTGGAGCATCAACCCAATCCCGCAGGGTCTCCGCAACACATCCTGACTATACGCGCCCCACATGGTCAATGGCCATATAAGCCAGGTTGGCCTGGGAACCCCGCGCCCATTCCCTAGTCCGGCCCATCCCCGCGCCCTGAGCAACCCTCCGCACGGGGGGCAGGGGGTGCCCTTAAACGATGATCTCAGGCCCGGGCAACCGACAAATTTTGTTTCGGAGACCTGGGGCCAATCTGGTTAACTTCCAACCCCTTCGTCGCTAGGAAGCGCCCCAAGCCCTGGGCAGGAAATCCCACCTGGTAAACAGAGCAACCCGCCGGGCCAACCGCGTCCAAGGTTTTATTTCCAGCTTAGGTCCCAAAGAATGGGGGGGAAGGGGAGAAGGAAAAGTCAAGGCAGGCCCTTTGATTCCCAACCTGTCACCCCCATAGGGAAGACCACCCTCCCACACCCACCAGGCCTGGGCCATGCCTCTTTTCCCTCCCCCTTCCACACACACCCCCTGGAGTCCTAGGAAGTTGAATTTGAGAAGATGCTAGGAACAGCAAGCCAAAGCCAAATTCATCCCCTATCCAGTTTTCCCAGGACGTGTTTTTTTTTTTTTTTTTTTTGAGAACGTGACTAGAGGCTCTGTTGCCCAGGCTGGAGTGCCGTGCCGCGATCTCAGGCTTCCCACTGCAGCCTCCGCCTCCCCCCGGGTTCACGCGCCATTCTCCTGTCAGCCTCCCCCAGTTAGCTGAGAACTACAGGCGGCGCCGCCACCGTCCCGCCCGCGGCTAATATTTTTTGTATTTTAAGTAAGGGAGACGGGGTTTCA